CGTTTGCATGTTGGTTGAGGGAAAATCAAGTAGAAAAGAAAATATGGAAGAAGCAGGAAACACTGGAGATAAACAGTGACAAAAATTCAGAAATTATATTATAGAAGCAGAAAGGCAAAAAAAAAAAAAAATGGGATGGCTTTAGGATTAGAAACCACAAATCCATTGCCGCCTGACATCAATGAACAGCTTCTGGACTTCTGTTTTGGTGGCACTCTGGAGGCCGGGTATGAGATTAAGAAGACTGAACAGATGACACTGAAAGAGTGTTTGTCTTCAGTCTTTTGAAATCTCTTTGTGCCGGCCTTCACCTCTGTTTGACTTAAGTAATAATCTGATTACAAAAACTGACATGGCTGGGTTTGTTGACTTTGGTCTTGGCAACCTCTAAATAATTATATATATATATATATATATATATATATATATATATATATATATATATATATATTTGATCCCCATGGTCTGATGGGAAGGAATAAGTCAAGCACCACGATCTGGAATTTGTCTATTTGGATACAGACACTTGAGGTCCATGCTGTGGAACAGAGATCTCTTAATGGCTTCAGAAATATATAAAATGATTAAAGTCATTAGTTTGTCTAATCATTCAATTATGCATTGAATGCACATTCCGTCTACAAATATTTAATGACTGCCTGCTACCTGCTAGCCATTGCTTTGGACAAAAGGGCTACAGAGTTGATGACACAAGCAAATGAAGTCACCACCTTCATGGAGCTATACATTTGCAGGCATCCTCAAACTACAGCCTGCGGGCCACATGCGGGTGTTTTTGCCCATTTGTTTTTTATTTTTTTTTACTTCAAAATAAGATATGTGCAGTGTGCATAGGAATTTGTTCATAGCTTTTTTTTAACTATAGTCTGGCCCTCCAATGGTCTGAAGGACAGTGAACTGGGCCCCCTGTTTAAAAAGTTTGAGGACCCCTGTTAGGGGGAGAAAGGTACTAATCAAATATGCACATAATAGTGAACACATAATACCAGATATTATAAGCATTACCAATCCTTAGTATATAAAACTTAAAAAAAAAAAACAGAACTAGCAGTTTGGGTAGAAATATAAATAGTTTCCAAAAATGCTATATGTTTATGACACAGATATCAAGCAGCTGCCTTAGGAAGACAGGTGACTATGTACACCTGTAATTCAGAACTGTTAAGAACAATGCGTGGTGGGACATAGTTAGCTCTCAAAAATACTAACTCTTATAGGGCAGCCCTGTAATGTAGACTAGTATGCAACAAACAATCAATGAGGGCTTCTTGGAAAAAAAACAATGACCCCTAAGCTTAATCAGAAAGAATGAGGGTCTCTTAGACTAAGAGAATAGTATATGACAAAGCAAAACATGCATGATTTTTGAGTGGTTAGTTTGGGAGCCTGCAAGCAATATCTTGACTTGATGTAGATGTAGTTTTGATGTACAACTACATCTTGACTTGATGTAGTTTTGGTTATCAGAAGGAAAGTGTATCAGGAGAAGTGAAACACACCTCAAAATGTCTTTTTGCTCTGGAGAATCCAGATATTAGGATAATGTTGAGCTCAGGGTGGGCGCACCAACCCCCACACTAATTCTCTGCACCCTCCCTTTTAGACTGTGCATTCTCCAAGCTAACTATCCTGTGCCAGGTGCTATACAAGGGGCTGGAGGGAATAATGGGGTTTAAAAACCTACCCTCAAAGAGATAACAACATAACTAACATGTTTTTTTGAGTAATGTCTTATTATCCAGGCACTGATTCAAAGTGATCCTCATGTGTGAATCTATCCAATCCTTAGAACAAGTTCATAAAGCTAAGTAGAATTTTTATCCTCTTTCATATAGATGAAAAAACTAAGGCGGTAAGTTCTGTCCACCATTGTATTCCTAATACCAGCCTTGGTGCCTGACGTCAGTTCCTTAATAAATAGTGCTGAATAAATGGATTAACAATGGGCAGATGAATCATGCTGAAAGCTTGCCTTGAAGGGCCAGAGTTGCTACTAGTTGATCAGGTTCCTGGCTCACCGGTCATTTTGTGGAATGACGGTAGGGCAATGATTCTACAGCTCTGATGCATGACAATTTCCAGGGGTTCTTACTAAAAACTCTAAGTCATAGTGAAGTCCATAAATGTGCATTTTTAATAGGTGCACCCAAGCATTTTACTCTAAAGTGATTCCTGAACAAATTTTGAGAGAAAAAAAAAAAAAAGGAAATTGCTGTGCAGTGTGCGTTGATAGTCATTACAACGAGATATAAGACTAGCGCATAATGATCGTGGCTCCATGGGTCACAAGAAAGAGGAGGGGAATGGCGACTTCAATGGCAATATAAGGAAATCAGTGACTTCAATGGGATCTAATTACCTGTTTCACTCATATTGCAGGGCTTCTAAGCCCTGGCGCTATTGCCAGTTTGAGCTCTGTAATTCTTTGCTGTAAGAAGGCTTTTTTTTTTTTTTTTTTTTTTTTTTTTAGGATAGATAGCAGCAACTCTAGCCTCTATCAACTACATACTGTGTTTCCCCGAAAATAAGACAGGGTCTTATATTTATTTTTCCTCAAGAAGACACCCTAGGGCTTATTTTTAGAGGATGTGTTATTGTTTTTAAGGACGGTAAAACAATCTACACTGATTCAAATAGAGTGAAGTCGTCTTCTTCTGGAACATCATCCTCACTCTCCAAATCCCGAATTCCATCCTGAGTTTCTTGCGACTCTATTTCCTTTAGAACCACTGGCCCCGATCTCTCATGTCAGGCAATAGAGCTCTCACGGGGCGAATGAGAAGGGCTGCTCGTGTTCTTTCCCGCTCTGCGACGACACGCATGGGTTGTGCAGATGTGCTGCGCAGCCACGCCCGTCACTAGGGCTGATTTTCGGGGTAGGGCTTCGATTGCCCAAATGCTTAGAAATCCTGCTAGAGCTTATTTGATGGGTAGGCTTTATTTTTCAGGGAAACACTGTACCAGTAGCTCCCTCCAACTCCCAGGTTGTGACAACTGAAAATGTCTCCAGGCGTTGACCAAAGCTCAAATTGCCTCCAGTTGAAAACCACTGCCTTAATGGAAGACAGAGAGCTTTCTTCAGCTCCTTATTGTAGCAACTTCTGTTCCTCTAACCTAGAATCCTGTAATACAGACCCCTGACCTGTTTTCCCGATTGTGCCCCTGAGAGAGACTGTGGCTTGTTTGATGAGCACAACGTACCTTATTTGTTCTATCCAGAGCCTACGGTGTGTTTCTTTCCCCACACACAGACAGAGCTGGTTTATCAAATCAAGTGGGACAGATTGTCAGGGTCAACACATGTCAAAACCGTCCTTAATTCTTCTAGATTCTGGGGGCCTCCAATCCCTTTTATGCAGTTTGCAGGAAATTATAATTAACTATGACAGTAGAATAGGATCGGTTTCCTGGAAGCCATATATTATTAAATGAAAAAAAAATATATATCAAAGGAAGAGACATAGAAATAAAGTCAGATAAAAGTGCCTGATATAAATGAATGATCTGAGTTGGAAAATATTTCGGCACGAAACTGGCAGAAACCTAGATTTGGGAAACTATAGGAAATTTTCCTTTATTCTAATTTTTAAAAACCTTTTGCAAGAATAAAGAACTTATTAGTATCCAAGGATATATCCTTCACCTTTCTCCTCCATTAATTTCTTTTAACTGCTCTCAGCATCTTTCAGTTATGTAGGAAAAGAATGAGAGTAAAACCTCCTTTAGAATGATTGATGGGAAGACTATCAACTATTGTTGCATAACATTATAAAGTATCATATTCTTATTAATGTATTTAAAAAAAACCCCTTACCTAATCTTAGCAAAATGCAAGGGTTAACTAGACAAGTAGTTGTTATTCACAACATACTACTAGTGAATTAATTCCTAGTTCACTGGCTAATCAGATCAGTGAATTAGTGTGTGCATTCAACGAAACAGTTAGATAGCTCTCCAAAGCACATTCTTAATTGAAATCGTAAAAAAGGAAAGAAAAAAAAAAACAACTAGGGTTTATATTGACATTGCATTTTACCCAAATTTATTCACCTCAAAATGTATTGTAATGAAACTTATTGTTATATAAATTATTTGACAGGGGCTACCTTGACTAGCATGCTTTTTTTGTGCAAGTGAAAAATGCTCCCTAATGAACATGTAGTGGGAGACGAAAAGCTAGGAGAGTCAATACCTATTTGCAGAGACTAAAAGGATTGAGAATCAATCAGTCAAGAGGGGGAGAAAATCCCAGCACTGCACCATTGGTTACTCAGGGCAAGAAAAAACAAAAACAAAAACAAAAACTGTAACCTTGTTACCCACATTCAGTTTCTCTAAGCGATTTCAGTAGGTACATAGTAACAATTCCCTTTTGGCCACGCACAAACACTGTTACTTCTGGCTCGAACTATTTGCAGGTAAGACAAACAGGCTCGGGTAACCAGGTGGTGGATTGCAGTTCAGCTCAGAATCTGGCCAATTTGAGGTGGTCTGGGAGGTGGGTGATTAATGAGACAGCCCAAAGCCGCCAACCCTAGGCAACTTCCGTGGGAATAAGCAGGTTTTCAGGAAGGCATGAAGGCAGAAGATGGCTGGGCAGAGCGAGAGCCTGCTCCCAGCTCCACCAGCGTCTGTCTTCGCCTGTGCAGTTGCTCCAGCTGCCAGAGGCTTTCCGGTTGCCACGGCAACTGCCAGGGCTCCGCTGCGAACTCAAAGCAGAGCCTTCTGAAGTTGGGTACCAAACGCTGGCGCCCAACAAACGCAAAGGCAGCTGCGGAAGGAAGGGGAAAAGAGCCAGCCAGGACCACCCATGGATCACTTTAAAAATCAGATTTTTGTTTTTGTTTTTGTTTTTGCATTTGCAAAAATGAGATTTTTTTTTCTTTTTTTTCCTGCCTGGGATTATTCATGCGTGTCATCTTTTGGTGCCTGGCGGGAGAGGGAGAGACTGCAAATCCTCTGCTAAAGGCAAAGCATCAGGAGGGGAGGAGGGAGTGGGGCTTGTGGCAAACGTGGTTAGCAGGAATGCATGCAGCCCGCTCATGCTCATTCATTCCTTCATTCATTCAGGTGAGTGCTCATCTGTGCGGGGCATCGTGCCAGGTGCTGGGTCTACACAGAGAAAGGGGACACCACCCCACCCTCAAGACCACCATAATCATTAGCAAAAATTAGCAGAATCCTCAGAAAACGCCTGGGGGAAACCAATTAGGCATTGCCTGTTTCCCAGGGGTCTCTCTTGGAGGACAGATTCAGAATCCAACCCCAGGAAGGGAAAGAGGCCCCAGAATAGGGTTAGGAGAGAAAGCCAGGGGACAGAAAACCTGTGAAGGCCACCCAAACGTCTCTCTCCCAGGCTGCCAGAGAGAAGAGAGGTTTGTTTTTCTTTTAGAATAAACGTAGCCCTTTTCCCTACTGGGCTCAATTTCTAGTAGGGGAAGCCCCGCCTCCCTGGGCCACTCATTGGCCCAGCTCTTTTTAAGATAATTTATGCCAGCATCCTCTCTGTCTGATTGGCTGCCCTGCTCAGTTCCACCGGGAGGCGCATCCCACCTGGTGGGAGGTGTGAGGCTTTCCCACACTCTGCCTCTCTTACTCTCAGGCTGCTGCCGAGGTGGGAGGGAAAGTCCTGCTTTGGAGAACTGAGCCAGTGGGCAGTGCAAACAGGAAAAACGGGATCCCGATGGCTTCTTGGAGAGCCTTGCTCTTCTCCCCCTTCCTTCTGGGGAATCAGAGCAGAGGGGTGAGGCTGATGTTCCTGCTACTGACTCTGCATCTGGGAAACTGGTGAGTGGATTCAAGGACTCCAAACTATTCTTTGGTATCTACCACCCCTTATTTCCCTTTCCTTTTAAAACCTCATTCTAAGTAATGTGCATTTTCTAATTCATGTGTGTGCCATTTATTTTACCATCATTTCATTTTTCTTATTAGATCTATTCACTCTCCTAGAAAGAGAATTTAGCTTATGTCTAAAGCATCCAGATTCAGTTCTTTTTGGCTTTCAAGCAGAGTATATAAACTAGTAAAGGTTCAGTTACTGGGAAGGGATGAGGGGGGAAAGAAAATGACTTAGCTACTAAATTTAGTGAATGAAATGCCATTGATGAACTTTCTGGATGATTCTGCATTTTGAAGACAAAGTTATTTCAGAAACTTGTTTCAAAGTATGGTATATACATAATGCTTTTGTTCTATATACTAAGATAGCTTTTTCTCTCCACACTCCCCCCCCCAACACTCACACCCTTTTTGGGTAACTTTCTGCAATAAACCAATATTATACATCAAGAAAGATTATAAATCTAACTAAAAATATCATATCAGCATTGATATTTAAGTCAAAAATAACCACGTTTATTTTATTTGAACCAGCTTTGAGTGTTTTTTAATTGGCTGTCCACTAGTAATTAAAAAATGTATAGTGATATGAATGTCTTGGCTGTGTGTGTGTGAGAGAGAGAGAGAGAGAGAGAGAGAGAGAAAGAGAGAGAGAGAGATTACCAATCACAAACCTCCAATTTAACAGGAACAACACTGGGCTGTAATACCTTTCAATAAAACTTTGAAATCATTCCGGTAGAAAAACAAAATGCTCAAGTGTCATACTTGGATTGTGCATAATAAGAGTAGTGGGTGAATAGTTATATGTTGATTAAGAAATAGATACTATATTGGTCTGGGACACATTATTTGTATCATGTAACTTGTTCCAAATAAATGTATATTTAACATTATTTTATTGTATTATATAATCCTGCTTAGAACTCGAGTAAAGTACAATCACTATGAAGATATTAACAGAAACATGCTTTTGTAACTACTTGTATCAATGCTAAAATGAATTATTATTATAAATTTTAGTATAAAGCTTGACTGAATATTTATTGCCATTACCACTAGATAGAACAACTGTAATTTATCTCAGAAAATAGAGATTGAAGTATGCTAAGTAATAATAGGCTTGGTAGAAATTTTTTGACACTGAGTACTTTTTTTCACTATTACAGTTTTGAATATTTTACCATTTTCCCTCAGACTCTTAAATGTTCTGCATGGACACAAACATATAACTAGGTGAATTATTTCTTACACATGTTGCATTGTAATGGCTTATTCCTTCAAATATATTATAAAAACTTATAGAAGATATTTAGGTAGAACATGTACCTTCGTAATATTACAAAAGTAAAAACAGATTTACCCAGGGGTTTTCTGAAATAACAACCTGTATGCTCTTTTGTCATTATAAGGACAAGTTTCCCTTTCAACCAAAAAGGCAAGCTTTTGTTAAAGTGCATATTGTCTATCCAAAGAGATGTTTTGTTTTAAATAAAAAGGTTTCGTTTTTGAGGATTTTTTAAAAAAATGAGTATTGTAATTGGCCCCAGAACTCTCATCAACCTGTCAGAGTTCAAGAGCCATGTGGTGTATTGACCAGAGACAAGATTATTAGCAGTCTGGAGTCATGATCTCACATGTCAAGGATGCTTACCCTCTCTGGGCACAGTTCCTTCATCTAAGAAATAAAGTATAGCAGTAGATAACAATTTATGATTTCCTTAGGTTTTCACATTCAATATGTCTAAGATTTGAACTGAATCAGAGAATGAACCAATGGCTACTTCACTGTTTTTTTTCTTAGTAGTTTTCAAGATGGAAATTCTAAATGCAAATGTCATATCCTTTTCCCATATGTATGAGCAACTGAGAGAGGTGATATACAGCTAAAATTCATAAATTTTTTTTTCTATCATAGTAATACAACAATCTGGATTATTCTGGCCAGTGAATAAATGCATATTAAAAAATAAATCTGTAGGTTGATTGATAACTGATGCCCTAAGCCCTGAGCTCTTAGGGCATCAGTTAGGAGAGTTCATATCTTCAGTTACTAAAGTAACTATAGTTATGGTGAACTTTTCACCCTTTTAATATGTAGTTGGAGATAACTTGTGTCAACATGGGTAAACCATGTGCAATCATATTCTCTCCCACTTTCTCCTTCTTTTGAGAGACCTTTCCAAAACTAACCACAGATGGTTCTGTTTGTAAGAATGTTGGTACCTTATACTGGTTTCTAAAATACGTCTTCAATGTTTCTAAATATGTCTTGGTGCTTACCCAATTGAAAGCTATTCTTTTTTATAGCAAATCAGAGGCAATGCCTTGCTTCCTCATTAGTTTCTATCCAGAGTGTAGAGCAGAGACACTATATTGATTTTTATATTGCTGAACTATGAAAACCTATCCTATCATCGTAGCTAAAAGCTATAGTCATGGTTCCTGTGTTTCATTCTCCATGATACTCTATGGCACTTTGACAAGCTGGTTAAAATCTCTTCAGTTTGATTTGACTTCTTTGTAATCTTGGGGGAAAAAAAATCCCATTATCATCAGGTTTATAAAAGAGTTTAAAAAGTGCTTTGAGATTTTAGCTGCCCTAAAAAGTAACTTACAACACTAAGAAGTTACATTTCAAGAGAGCTCAAGGCAAATAACTTGCTTTGATTTTTCAGTTGCTCAAATGAAAATATTCAAATATACTTACTTTTTAAAATATATTATTTTCAAGTAATTTCAGTAATATATTTTGCGGGAGTGATAGCAAATAAATGATTTTTTTTTTGGCATTTACATTTTGGGCTTAAGTTTCTAGTAAAATACTGATGACAACCATTTAGACTTTGAGAACAAGATAACTAAGTAATAAAGATCCATGATAATTAAATATTCAAAGGACTAAGAAAAAATGACTTTGAAGCTAAAATGCAAATGTCATACCTGATAAATGCCCTGTGTATAGAGTCTTTTAGGTTATCTAAACAAGCAATGTTCTTTTTCCATTCTATAGTATAAAATACACTTTTGGCTGAGCAACAAAGGGAAAGGTTAGGCATTTTACTCAATTATTAAATAGATTAATCTAATATATGAATATAATGATGAATGTAGAGGCCCAAAGGGGAGACAAGGAAGGGTAGAAAACTGAAAAATGGTTCTGGATGTCCTGAGAAAAATGTGGTATATGCATACCACGGAGTACTATTCAGCTATAAGAGACAACGGTGAACTGGCACTTCTTGTATTTTCCTGGATAGAGCTGGAACCCATTCTACTAAGTGAAGTATCCCAAGAATGGAAAATATAAGCACCACATGTGCTCACCAGCAAATTGGTTTCACTGGTGGGAATATAGGAATAACATTTATCGGGTGTCAGGCAGGTGGGAGGGGAGAGGAGGGGATGGGTACACACATACATAATGAGTGCAATGATGCACACCAACTGGGGGATGGGCACACTTGAAGCTCTGACTCGAGGGGAGAGGGGGGCAAGGTCAATATACGTAACCTTAACAGTTGTAACCCCAAAATATGCTGAAATAAAAAAAATATGATGGCCGGGCGCAGTGGCTCACGCCTGTAATCAATCCTAGCACTCTGGGAGGCCGAGGCGGGCAGATTGCTCGAGGTCAGGAGTTCGAAACCACCCTGAGCAAGAGTGAGACCCCGTCTCTACTATAAAAATAGAAATAAATTAATTGGCCAACTAAAAATATATAGAAAAAATTAGCCGGGCATGGTGGTGCATGCCTGTAGTTCCAGCTACTTGGGAGGCTGAGGCAGGAGGATGGCTTGAGCCCAGGAGTTTGAGGTTGCTGTGAGCTAGGCTGATGCCACGGCACTCACTCTATCCTGGGCAACAAAGCAAGACTCTGTCTCAAAAAGAATAAAATAAAATGATAATGAAAATATGATAAATGGTTGCCTTGGGGGAAGAGGGAAGCATGGACTTTAGGAGAATAAGTCACATGTGGTTAGGGTACCAAGTGAGAAGCCTGGGCTTTACCATTTAATCTGAATTCTCGGTTTGGCCCTAACATTTCCCACTAGGGTGACTTCAGACAAATCTTTGAGGCAGCGAGTCTTCATCTGTGAGACATGAAAATGGCATCCACATGTCCAGATTGTTTCACGACCAAGAAGGAAAATTTATACAAAGAAGCTAGCACTTAAAATTTTACCTAAAAAAAAAAAATAAAAAGAGAGAGATATAGTAATAGGTAA